GAGGAGGAGGAGGAGGAGGAGGAGGAGATGGAGGAGAGGAGGAGGAGGAGGAGGAGGAGATGGAGGAGGTGGAGGTGGAGGAGGTGGAGATGGAGGAGGAGGCCCCCTGCCCGTTCGTGCCCGCCCCGCCCCCGCCCGCCCGCGAGCGGCCCGCCTGCCCCGTCGGCGCCCGGCCCCTCCGCCAGCGCCGCCGCCGCGGCAACCGCCGCCTGGTCGGGCGGCAGAGGCGCGGCGCGGGGCGCCAGCGCCTGCGGGCGGGCGCGCGCCCGCGGGCCTCCCGAGAAGGAAGGGGGGTAAGGAGGAAAAGGGAGAGGAGGAGGAGGACAAGGGCGAGGAGGAGGAGGAGGAGGAGGAGGAGGAGGAGGAGGAAAAGGGCGAGGAGGAGGAGAGAGAGAGGAGGAGGATGAGATGAGGAGGAGGAGGAGGAGGAGGAGGAGGAGGGAGGAGGGGAGGAGGAGGAGGAGGAGGAGGAGGAGGAGGAGAGAGGAGAGAGGAGGAGGAGGAGGAGGAGGAGGAGGAGGAGGAGGAGGAGGAGGAGGGAGGAGGAGGAGGAGGAGGAGGAGGAGGAGGAGGAGGAGGAGGAGAGAGGAGAGAGGAGGAGGAGGAGGAGGAGGAGGAGGAGGAGGAGGAGGAGGAGGAGGAGGAGAGAGGAGGAGGAGGACGGGAGACAATGAGGAGGAGGAGGACGGGAGACAATGATGAGGAGGAGAGAGGAGGAGGACAGTGAAGAGGAAAGGGGGAGGAGGGAACGGGAATGAGGAACAAGGAAGGAGGGAGAGAGGGAGAGGAGGAGGCGGGCCCCCACCTGGAAGGTCAAGCTCACCTGCGGGCCCAGCGGCCCGGGCTGGAGACTGGCGACCGCGCCAAGGCCCTAGCCCTGGCATCCCGTCGGCAGATCAGCCTCGGCCTCCCCTCGGCGAGCTGGCGGGCAGGGGCGCAGCTCTGGGTCCCTGCAGAGCGAAGTCTATCAAACGTGTTTAATAATATGTCGCGTGCGATGACTATGCTACCAGGCTCATATTTTCTGAGAGGCCGAGAGCAGAGCAGGAAACCAGCAAACACCTCCACCCTCCACCAGGCAAGGTGACTAGGCAAATGAGAGCGCATCACATCGAGAAAACAGGGCCTTGAAGAGAATAGTAAAGTTGTTATCCCCCTATGCACTGACACCCACACCTGCACCCCAACGTAGGCTGGCGGCATTCCCAGGAGGTATTCCAAGCATTGCAAATACTGCGCAACAAACTTATCTGGATGATAGGAGCAACATTATGACCGACCAGCTTAAGACGATCGAAACAGAGCGGGCCTCAGGACGGCAAAATATCCCCGAGCTCGTCAAGAAAACGCTTGTGCCAATAACGCATCCGATCGTACAAGAGATCCTGGAAACTCCTGAAGGGAACATGTCCTTGGACGATGTTGGTCATTGTTTTCTGCAGCTTAGGTCCGAAAAGGCTAGGAGCTTGAGAGGTCTTTGAAAGCTCTAGATAATTCTGGTGAAGCATGATGACAGAAGACTTGCAATGAACAGGGTGAACAACAGCGTCAATATGGGCTTCGTCATCGTCAAATGCGTCCTGAAGCTTCTCAATACATGCAAAGAACACTGATGACGCGAGCACCGCACGGTATGCAGCGGCCCCTGCTGCGTGCTTCAAAGATCGAGCAGACATCTGATTCTTCCCAAACGCGGCAAAGTTGCACAGCATATCATAAGGGAAGCATGCATCGGAGCACACGTCAGACTCTGTAACCCAAGATGCACCCGCCACTCTACGCCGGCTGTGGGTGGGAATCACTGGACAACACATAGCGGAACCGTGACCGCGATCTGGTTAAACGCTTTCACCGAGAGCGCGAGCCCCAGCTTAAGCGACTTGATGAAGCGGCTACGCTCGCGGAACTTCAACGTAGGGCCGGCACACATTTCTTCTTGCGACCTGACTCCGCACTTGACCCGAAGATACCGCGCACAGGAGGCCATCCGCTTCTCGAAATTTCTGAAGCTGGCTTCTCGGACGACATCGCAAGGAGGGAAGAGGAGGAGGAGGAGGAGGAAGAAAAGAGGAAGTCGGCTACGCGTCTCAGAAGGCCCGTGATTACGCCTATCCCTGCAGTGTCGTACTATCCACTGCGTCCGCGGGAAGCGATGATGACACAAGTGCCGCTGCCGCTCTGGCCAGACGCGGTCAGCGCCGTGCTGTCGCCGACTGCTTCAGATCTTGACAGCGTGCCTGCCCACAGTCGGATTGGCGGAGGAGGGGGAGCCACCCACAGGCCCCGTGTGCAGCTTCTCGTAGCATCGTGGGGGAGCGGTGGGCGCGCGCCGTGCGCTGCACGGGTGCTCCTTTCCCAGAAGGGAAGCACCTGATGATGCAGACTGCCAGCTTCCCAGCCGATGGGACAATGACTCCGCCACGCAAGCCTGGAGAAGGTGGCCAGGGCACCTGTCCTGACTACCTACCAGACCACCCCAACCCAACCCGAAGACCCGAATTTCGGGTTTGGGGGGGGTAAGGGTTCCACATGCGTTTTTTCGATGTTTCCCGACCCCCCCCACTGGAAATCGAGGGTAAATCTGAGCCTTCGGGTTGGGTTGGGGTGGTTTGGTGGGTGGTGGTGTCCCGGGCAGTGCAAAGTTGTGGCCAGGCACGCTGTGCGTGCGACGGCGAAGAGACCCATTAAGCCTTAAGAGCAAGAAGGCAGGGGGACAGCAGCTGTTTATAGGGAGCCCACCCTGGACTAGGAGGCGGCAATATATTCAAAAGCTTGCACACCATATACGCTGGCACTGCGCGGGCAGCTCAGACTGAGGCACGCCCGCGCGAGGAGTTGGACTGCAGAGTTCCGCGTCCATGCCTCCAAAACCTCGGAATCGGCATGGCGATCCTACGCCACTCGATGGTACCTCGAAGGGAGGAGGGGGAGGGGGCGAAGGGAGGAAGAGGGAGAAGAGACGGCAAAAGCAAGAGGTGAACTAGAGACCAGGAAGCGCAGCAACTCGGGTACCGAAGGCATGTCAGTGTAACCTTGAGAAAATCAAACACAACCCTTCGGAATGAAACTGCCTGCATCTGCCGGCAAATGGCACAACCTGCATCCATCGCAGAGCAGCGTGCGATAAAAACACACAACCCCGGTTGCCATCACCCGGAGGTGGAGGGGAGGAGGGACGAGGCCCGGGAGACGAGGAGGAGGAGGAGGAGGAGGAGGAGGAGGAGGAGGAGGAGGAGGAGGACAAGGCGTAAAATTGCGAGCGCCATCCCAAACGGGCACTCCGCACATGTTGTCCGCCCTCACGAGACGAGGCAAAGGCCTGGGCAATAGACGCTCTCCAGTGGTTTCGGTCCAGGGAAGGTCTACTCAGAGATGGTTTTGAGGGCCTTTTTTCGACACCCCTCACGAGGATTGTGGTCTCCGAGGGGGGTGCACTCGCCTACCCCGCCCCAAGAGGCCCCCAAGAGCCCCCCAAGAGGCCCAAGGGGGCCCCAAGACGCCGCCAAGGAGCCCCAAGAGACCCCCAAGAGGCCCCCAAGAGGCCCCTAGGAGGCCCCTAGGAGGCCCTCAAGAGGCTTCAAAGAGGCCCCATAGAGCGCTCGAGGGCCGGCGGAATGAGCGAAGCGATTCAATAAACGCTCTCCAGTGGTTTCGGAAATAATCTCCGAGCGGGCGCCACTGCCCGGCGCAGGAGCGTGGGACACCTGCGGCTCCCGAGCGGTGCGCGGCGCCATGCCCCGGGCAGCTGGTAGCCTGCCAGCACAGTCGGGGCGTTGGCCTAAGGAACCCTAAATAGGGAACGAGGCCCCTATTTTCCAAAAGTTAACCTTCGACTTCCTGTCGAAAACATAAGGAAAACCTGAGGCAAGCTGCGAAACACTTAAGGAACGCGGAGCCCCTCCCCAACGAAAAGGGTTCCTTCTTCAGGGCCCCGACGGTACGCCCTGGCCGTGCACGAGACCCATAGAGTACCGAGAAAGGAGCCCTGTCAGGCAGTCGATCAGCAGCCCAACTGGCCGGCGCGGGTGCTCGCCCCGTTGGGGGGGAAAGATCTTCCGCCCGAGACCTCTGCGGTGCCAGGAGTCCTTCGGAGATCCAGCCCCGAAGGCTTTTTCTGCCACGCAATGGACGCATCGCATGGTATTTCGCGGGGGCGCCAGGAATTGTAGACAACTGTTTGCAAAGTCTGTCAGTTGGTATGAAGCTCGTCGAATAGTTCGATATCATCATTACTCTGGGGGAAGTGGCAGGAATGGTAGACGTATTGACCTGGCTCGGCATCGGCCTCCATGGGAAGCACAAGGATCCCCCCCCAATCCTTGCCCCTCTTCCCTCATCCACCCTCCCGTTCGCCCGGCAAGGCTGGAATTTAGAAGCCTGTGATGCGCACCCACATGGAGGGGTGGGACCAGAGCTCACCTCAGGGGAGGGGAATGACAAGAAAACGGTGGAGAAGTGGAAAGGGAGGGAAGTCCACCCAGGTGTCAGGCCGGCAGCCGCCCTTCTCCTCTGCCAACTCGTGACGACGACGCAAATCAACGAGGAGAAGGTAGGAGGAAGGATGGCGAGGGGAGGAAAGATAAGCAGAGGGAGTTTGATGCTCATTCTGGGGACCTTCCTGGAGCCACTCGCCCCACTCATGCGTCGATGCTGTATCGAACACCTGTCGGTTTGCGTAAACATTGGGTCGGACTGGAGTCGAACCAGAATCGAAGAGATCCGTCAAGATGGGCTCCAGGAAGGTCCCTCGAACGAGCGTCTAAGCATGGGGGAGGCGACGCTAACGAGGAAGAGGGAAAGAGAGAGGGAACGAGAAAGAGTCGGCCACGCGCAGAGGGGGGTAGGAGGAGGGGGGAAGGCTTCTTAGAGGCACCCCTGCTTCCTAGAAGGCGCCGGCCTTCTCTGTAGACGTGAGGCCGGGGCCTTCTGAGAAGCAGGGGTGCTTCTAAGAAGCCTCCCCCCCTCCTCCCACCCCTCTGCGCGCCGCTGAGACCCTACCCCTACCCCTACCCCCCACGACTTCTGCGAAGTGAGCCCCCACCCTCTCCCTCAGAAATCGTGGGGGGCGGGGGCAGGGTCCGCATGTGGCCCCCTAAGAGGAGAGAGGGGGGGGGACGCCGAGACGCAGCGGTGCCCCGCGGGGCCTTCTCGGGCATGGGGGGCGTGGGCGTCCTCGGCGCCCGCTCCCCCTCGGCGGGCCCCCCGGCGCCGCGGCGGTCCTGTCGCGGCGGCCACCCTCTGTGGAGAGATCATCATCATCATCATCATCATCATCATCATCATCATCATCATCATCATCATCATCATCATCATCATCATCATCATCATCATCATCATCATCATCCTCATCCTCATCATCATCATCATCATCATCATCATCATCATCATCATCATCATCATCAGCATCAGCATCATCATCATTATCATCATAATCATCACCATCACCATCACCATCATCATCATCATCATCATCATCATCATCATCATCATCATTACCATCACCATCGTCAGCATCATCATCATCCTCCAGCTCATCATCATGCTTATCATTATCATTATCATTATCATCATCATCATCATCATCATCATCATCATCATCATCATCATCATCGTCACCATCATCATCATCACCATCATCATCATCAGACTTACCATTGTCATTATGACAATCATTAGCACTATCAACATCATCACCACCATCATCAGCAGCAACACCATGATCACCATCATCAGTATCACAATCATCATCCTCATCATCACCATCAGCAGCAACAATATCATATCAGCCAACGTTGACTCCAAATCCGCCGATCTGGCGTGTGAGTTTCAAAGACCCTCAGATATAGTTTTAGCCTCAGTTCTTGAGCTTCAGCTCTGCTGGGGGGGGGGTGCCGGGGTGGCTCTGCCGGGGTAAGCGGGGGGGGGTCCGAGTCAGTTTTGGTGGCAAAATCGGAGCTCCAGCTCACTGCGGGTCGGCCCCTCGCCCCGGAGAGCTCGAACGCGGGCTCATAAAAAAACCCAGCGGCCGCCCAGACGGCCCACGAGGGCCCTGAGTGGCCTGAGTGGCCGAACATTATGTTCCTCAGACGGCTCCAGAAATCTCTCACGTACCCCCCCGACACCTCCTAAGAATGCCCAAAGACGGAAAATCTGTCCCATTCCCTTGGGAAAACGTGCAGCCCAAGAGACCCCCAAAACAGGCCCAGAGGCTCTCACTCTCAAGAGGGCCCCAAGTCGGCCCAAGAGGGGCCCAAAACGGCCCGGGAGGCCCCCAAGACAGCCCAAGCGGGCCCCAGGACGGGCCCAAGAAGCGCCCCTGAAGGGCCCAAAACGGCCCAAGAGGCGCCCAGGAGGCGCCAAAATGGCCCTAGGAGTCCCCAAGAAACCCCGAGAGGCTCCAAGTGGCCCTCAAGAGGCCCCCAAAAGGCGCCCCAAAGCGCTCCCGAAGGCTTAAAAATTACCTCCTACACACCCCCAGGAAGCCTCCAGGATGCCTCCATGCCCCCCAAGAAGCCCCAAAGGCCCCCAAGAGGCTCAACAATTACCTCCAAGACGCCCCCCCCAGGAGGCCTCGAAGATGCGTCGCAGAGGCCCCTCAAGAAGCCCACGCAATGCCTCCAAGCTTTTCCAAACCACTTACGTTTGAACAAGCGCGCTGGGGCAAAAGCGTCCTTCTGACAGCGGGATCGTCCCGGATCGGCGGCACCAGCAGGAGGCCACTACAATAGATTAGACGACCCAAATCAAGGAATCTGAGGAATCAAGCATGCTTGGAATCCGCAACTCAGCAAGCAAGCGTGCAAGCAAGCGCGCAGGCAAGCAAGTAAGCAAGCAAGCAAACAAGCAAGTAAGCAAGCAAGCAAGCGTGCAAGCGAGCAAGCGTGCAAGCGTGCAAGCAAGCAAGCATAGGCATAGGCGTAGGCGTAGGCATAGGAGTTAGGGGAGAGGCATAGGCATAGGCATAGGCATAGGAATTAGGGGGCGCATAGGAATTCGAGGGGGGCAACGGACCAATTAGTAGGGTTTGAGCTAGGATTCCTACAGGGCAAATCTATTTGGTGAATCATCATCATCACCGTCCTCATTATCAACGGAAAACTCACCATCAACATCAACAGCAACGTCCTCCTCCTCCTCATCATCATCACCACAATCATCATCATCAAGATCGTCATCACCATCAGCATCAACATCATCAACATCCCAAGCATCAACAGCATCATCATCGTCGTCACCGTCATCCTCACGATCATCACCACCACCGTCGCTTTCACCATCATCATCACATCATCATCATCATCATCATCATCATCAGCATGACCATCATCATCAGCATCACCATCAACATCAACAGCAACGTCCTCCTCCTCCTCATCATCATCATCATCATCATCATCACTACAATCATCATCACCAAGATCGTCATCACCATCAGCATCAACTTCACCAACATCTCAAGCATCAACAGCATCATCATCATCACCACCATCATCACGATCATCAGCATCACCAGCACCAGCAACAACATCATCATCATATTCCTCCTCGTCATTATCTTCATCCTTCTTCTCCTCCTTATGCTCCTCCGCTTCAACCTCAGCATCATCATCGTCACCATCAATCACCCTACATCAACAGCATCAACATCATCATCCACATCATGATCATCGTATCATCATCCTCATCCTCATCATCATCAACAACATCACCACCATTACCATTGACAGCATCATACTAGATAACCATCAACATCATCATCCTAACCGTTATCATCATCCTCATCCTCATCCTCATCATCGGCATCCTCACCATCCCCATCATCATCAAACGTAACATCAATATAACCAATCTTCATGTCACCATCAATAACAAAACCATCATCATCACAACCACCACCACCACCCTCATCCACGCCCTCACCATCCCCATCCCCATCCCCGTCACCATCATCATCAGCATCAGCATCATCATCGTTGTCGTCATCGTCATCGTCGTCGATATCATCCTCGTCATCGACGTCGTCATCATTATCATCAGCAACAACATCAGCAATAGCATCATCATGGTCATTTCCGCCATCATCATCATCGTCGTCGTCATCTTCGTCCATCGTCACCGTCACCGTCACCGTCATCCTCGTCATCGTCATCGTCGTCATCATCATCATCATCATCATCATCAGCATCATCATTACGATCCTCAGCAGCAATAGTATGATCATAGATTCTTCCACCAGCGTCTCTGCCACCGTCATCACTTCAACCATCCGCGGCATGTGGTTGCCCGATGGCGGCTGCCCGCGGCGCTCGACGCGGGAGCGCAGGCTCGCACGGTGCCTGCGAGCCGCGCCCCGCGGGCCCCGGCGAGGCGATGGCGCAGTTCGGGGGCCAAATGCAAACCCTGCCCCTGCCCCCCACGATTTCTGAGGGGGAGGGTGGGGTCCATTTCATTCGGGAGCTCCCGAACGACGTGAACCCCGCCCTCCCCCTCAGAAATCGCGGGGGGTCGGGGTGGGGTTCGCATGTGGCCCCCTAGGCCCTAGCAATCCCCGCAGACCTGGCCAGCGGGGTCGCCAGGCGCGGCGCGTGCTGCTCGCGGCGCGTGCTGGTCGCTGGGCTGCTCGGCGAAAGCGCGCGCGCGGCCGGGCGTGCCACTCGTCGGCGAACTGCCCGCGGCACGCCAGCCTCCCGCCGGCCGGCGGCCCCTCGCGCGGCACGCCGCGGGCCGCGGGATCCGAGCTCCTGGGCGCGGGCCGCCTGGAGGGCAGCCAGCAGCAGCGGCCATGGAGAAGTGACGTGACCAGAAATGACCATGAAAGGACAACGTCCACGAAAGAAAAAACGAGTTGGGCGGGGACTTAATCAGTGGAAGAGTCCCCGCGGCGGCGGCCACGGAGAACAGCGACCGTCGGCTTCGGCGCGGCCCCGGGCACTGGCGCGCCCTCGACCCGGAGGGGGGGGGGGGGGGGATTTTTTCTGGCCAGCGGCCAGCACAGGCCACTTCACCTCGGCTGCTCCTCAGGGCCCCTCCGAGGGCAAAAGGGCCCCGAGTTCTCGGCAGAGCCGCGCGGGCGGCCGGACGAGCCAGCCACCTCGCAGAAGGCAAGGAGGCTGTTCGGGCGCGAGCTGGCACCGAGAAAAACGCGCACACACACACACACTCCTGTAAAGCGCGAGCGACAGCCAAGAGGCGAACAGGCATAGACGGTCTGAACGCGGCGTTGCACGAGTGGAAAAACATCGCGCGCGGACCCGACCTCGGCGGTAGCACCCCAGGAGGCCAGCGCCAGATGGAGCCAGGAACCCCGACCTTACGCAGGCAACTCGAGGAAACCTTAATGGCCCACGCGGCAGACCACGGGCCCCCATAAAAAACCTGGCGCCTCCCGCGAGGACGGTGCCAGGTCCAGCCAGCTGGCCGTGGCACAGGAAAAGGGAGGCGCGCTGGAGGAGAGGATAGGAAGAGGCGCAGCTTGTATTGCGTCATCATCGCCATCAGCTGAGCAAGCGCTCGCGCGGTCAATCAGACGGTTAGCAGGCTGGGCATTGCCGCCCGCGGATGAAACGCCACGGGCAGCACGAGCCCACGTGCCAGGAAGGACACGCAGGAGGCAAGAATGCAAACGGGGCAAGGCATTGGGAGGCATGCTCCAGGCGCGCCAAAAGTTAGAGCTGCTATGGTGTCGGCAACTGAAGGGGGAGGACGTGGCCACCAGCGGTGCCTCACCGTCCTCCCTCCTGAGTCGATCCACCACCTGCCTCAAAGCGCCTAGTTCCTGTGGCACGACGAACGACAGCTCGGCGGCAGATGAGGATGAGCTAGGCTGCAATGGGGCCCCACCCGAAGCATCCGCTCCAGGAGCGGAGGGGAGGAGAAACCAGTGTGGGGGAATCGAGCCACTTCTTCCTCCGCTTCAGTCGGGAAAGCAACCTGGGCCGCCACTGGCCTGGCAAGGGTGCAAATCAGCACCCGGGGAGTCGTCGCCCTACACAGGCCAATCATTCTACGGGCTGCGCTCAATCGAGATATGCGGCTAAGCTTGGGATGCGCTTCTCGACAGATCTGGGACTAAACGTCCTTGGCCCCCGAGCTCCGCGGGCGCTTGCTGCAGTGATTCAACAAATGCCCAGTCCGATCACGACAACAATGCGACTTACAACGACGGCAAATCACCAGCGCACACGAAGCATTACCAGATAGGGCAGTGCACCTGTGGTGG